GTCAAATGAGCACACATCTATAATCATGTATGCTTTATACATAATATTCATAAACTATAATCTAGAAAGGAAATTTTGTTTTAGGAAGGTAACCCCCATGAACCACTTATGAGTTGTTTAATGTATTATATGCCCACGTGAAAAAATAGTCACAAGGTGGTCTGTGCTGCTAGTTTATTTGGGGAACAAAGATTATCAATCGCTAGGATAATGACAGATTTGTTTCACTCTCTCCCAAAGTATTTCTATAGACACTCTAAGGAGAATATTTCAAATGTAGATGGTTCAGGGAAAGAAACACTTTGAAATCTGATTTCTTCATGAACTTTGTATATAAGTTTCACTGATTGTAGAAATATTTTGAAAAATTTTATATATGTACAGTTAATGAAAGAAGAAAATGATGTAAGGCTTCAGTTTGTTTATCAATATTTAGAACATATCCTTTGATATAAGGGTAAATGCTAATTGAATTCCTAATCAGTCATTAATATTAATAGAAAATTAATAAACATTTATTACCCTTAATTTTATTTTTATAAAATAAAAATTTTTAAATTTTAATATTTTCAATGTCACAAAGGTAAAAATTTAATTTCAAATTTTATGAAATGAAAGACTGGTTTTTATTTTTCAAACTTTCTAATAAAAAGTAAACTATATAAAGTAAAATCTACAAAAATAAGTCATTTACATTCTCACATATGTTCAATGTATTTTAACCCAGAGCTATTTAGCCCAAAGTAGAGTTTTTAGGTCATTTACAAGTTAGAACTCTTCATTTTATAATACTTAAAAATAAACTTTCATTCCTTTTGGAAATTGAGTGAAGTAATATAGATGGATTCCTATTTCTAAAACAAAAGGGGTTCAAAGTAATGTTTTACACATAGATGAGTAGTTTCAATCATCTTTATATATAAATTTTAACACATTAAAGCCTAAAATATGTGCATATGTGGATAGAGGGAACAGATGATATATTTATAGTTTATAAAAATCTCTTCAAGAGTTAGAAGATTATATCCTGGTTTATTTGGCTGCAGTCTACTTATTTTATCAGTGTATAGTTTAATCAGTTGACCTTTTCTAAAGCCTTGTCATTTAGATTTTTCTGCATTACCTGTATATAATTTCCCCAGTAAAAAGGAAATGGTTTTATTTACCATTCTGATATCACCCTTATTGATGCCCCTTTAAAAACTTCATTCTCATTCTGTTCAATGACTTTTCATTGAATAGAATGAATTTTCTCTGCAAATATCAAACTCTAAAACATATTCGAAGACTCTTACTTTGATCATGTATAGACCACCCATTACTAAAAGAAAATCTTACTGTCATGCCACTAGCCAAGCAAGTGAAAACAGACAGACAAATGTGACTATCTTAAACTAAGAAGCTTCTGCACCTCAAAAGAAACAGTGACCAAAATAAAAAGACAGTCTACAGAATGGGAAAGGATATTTGCCCAATACATATTCGACAAGGGATTGATATCAAGGATATACAAGTACTGGTTGAACTCCACAAAAAGAAAACATCCAACCCCATCAAAAAATGGGGCGACAAATTGAAAAGAAGCTTTCTCAAAGAAGAAATCCGAATGGCAAAAAGGCACATGAGAAAATGCTCTACATCATTAATTATCAGGGAGATGCAGATCAAAACAACGAGATATCATCTCACACCACAGAGCATGGCCCACATCCAAAAGAACAAAAGCAACCTGTGCTGGTGAGGATGTGGCAAGAAAGGGACCTTCCTTCTCTGCTGGTGGGAATGCCAACTGGTTCAGCCCTTTTGGAAAAGAGCATGGTCGATTCTCAAAAAATTAGAAATTGAGCTCCCATTTGACCCAGCGATATCACTCCTGGGAATATATCCCAGAGAGGCAAAAAAGTACAGCCGTAGAAACATCTGCAGTTGTTTGTTCATTGCAGCACTCTTTGCAATAGCCAGAATCTGGAAAACACCTGAGTGCCTGAGAACAGATGACTGGTTAAAGAAACTTTGGTACATCTACACAATGGAGTACTATGTAGCTGTTAGAAAAGATGAAGTCATGAAATTTACATACAATTTGCAAACATGGAATTTACAAACATGGAAAGTATCATGCTAAGCAAAATGAGTCAGAAAGGAGGGAGAGACATAGAAAAATTGCATTCATCTGGGGAATATAAAGTAACAAAACAGGAGACTAACACCCAAGAATAGCCGAGATAGGAACCAGGAGGTTCATTCCATGTCTTGGAGGCCAGCTGCACATGCTATGGGAAAAGGCAGTTCAGATAGAGAAGGGAACACCAAATAAAGGTGTTGGGAGGATCCTCCCAGGATGGGGGATGCATGATGAAAGTAGACTATAGACCAAACATGATTGCCAATCAATGCAAAGCACGGCACCCAAAAGGAGAGAAAGAACAAAGGGGAATGCCCTGCCACAGAGGCAGGGTTGAATTGGGGGGGGGGGAGATGGGAGATGAAAGGGATACTGGGATCAGTGGTGATGGAAAATGGGCACTGGTGGAGGGATGGGTACTCAATCATTGTATAATCGAAATCCAAGCACAAAAATTTGTGAGTCTACAACTGTACCTCATGGTGTTTCACTAATAAAAATTTAAAAAAAGAACATCTTATTTTTATGATACTGATCTTTACCAATATTTTCCAACTCTGTCTTAAAAATGATATCTCTTTTACTATTTTTTTAACTATTTATTAGCCTGGCATTTTGTTGTGTTGACTGTGTTACTCTATGCTCTCATATCTCTTAATAGTGTTTTTTGCCTGCATTCTCTGGTTGAAGGGTTAATCACAGGACCTTACATAGAATGGCAACTCAATATTTATTGGTTGAAATTAATGCTCTACTACTTTGGGAAAGATGTCTCAATATGGTATATCACTTTAATATTTTAGGATCAGAATTTTGGTCTATGAAAACACATATTTTTAAGGACATTATTTTTATGGACAACTGAAAAATAAATTTTGAGAGGCAATTCTATTTAAATGAAATTATGTTAGTAACCTATGCTAACTCAAATAAGCAGTTTCTTCTAGCCCATAAACATACTCGAAGAAAATTAACAACAAAATTCTCTGTGAGACTCACACATAGAGAATATTAATCTAAATTACCAATGTGTCTTGAGAAGTTTGAACTAATTTGTTTTGTTCTGAAGGCAGTAACTTTCAACATGCATTCTTTTGTTGGGGAGGTTAAAAGGGACTCCTAAACAGTGCTCAGGAGGAGCGGAGGCCCCACCTGTGATTCTTGGCCAACTTGGGTTCTATCGGCCCTCTAGGGTTGTACCCTCTGGTACTCAGGGCACCTCCTGGGCTGCACCCACCAATGCTCTGGGGACCATTAGTATGTAGAATTAAACTCGGTTGAGCACATGCTAGACATGTACCCTCACTACTGTTCTATCTCCGTGCCAGTCCTTTTTCAAAAATTTTCGGCAGGTTTGGATTTGACATTGAAATAAGATATGATATGTTAGGTCATAAATAAATCATAGAAAAGCAGATATATTCTGTTCAAACAGGAGAAAGCTCTGGTTGTGTGCTGCTCTTTTTGACATAATGACTGCAGATCCTAAGGATCTCAAGGAGCAGGGTTGCTCAGGGAAGCAGTAGAGATCGGTGTTTATTATTTAGTGCTTTCAAAACTTATCCAAAATTTTTGGCCAAGTGTTACAGTGGGTTTATGATTTACATATTCCCTCTACTCCAAATGCATAACTGTGCTAGATAGAACTAGCATAAGCATATTAAGAGAGAAAGGGAGGAAGAGAGAGAGAAACCTTAGTGACATGATAAATATCAGTCTGCAGTGAAACTGGAGTAGAATTAAAGAATAGAGATTAGGTTTGAAACCCAGGTATGTAGGTCTAGACCCTCAAACAAGCAAGAAAATAGAGATACTGATGGTAGCCTGGAATGGGGGATTTTGTTTCAGTTGTATCTTGTTAAGGGAGTCAACACCAAGACCTTCTGCTTTACAGGACTCCTAAAGAGGCACGCAAGCATGAAAGAGAAAAATAAGAATACATTTTCAGGAAACAAGGTAGCATTTCCTGAAGGGCTTAGTATTTTAGGACTAGATTGACTTTGACTAATAAGTACCTTTAATGGGTGTTAATAAGACTTTTAATTTTTCTGGGGCTGAAGGGATGGTACAACAAATAAGGTGCTTATCATGTACATGGCTTTCCAAGTTTCAATCTCTGTAAACCCATATGATTCTATTAACACACCAGCAGCTGATCCCTGATGGTGGGCCAGGAGTAAGCCCTGAGCATCGAGAGGTATGGCTCCAAAACCTAAATGAATAATTTTTAAAAAAAAGAAAGTTTTTTTTCTAAAACCATCCAAGTATTATGGACTACATCTCTATTCATATGTTTGCCCCAACAAGTGAAACTGTGTGTTCCCTTACCAAGACACCATGATAGTGAAATATATCATGCATTATCAGTTTACGCTGTAAAAGTTATGTTTTCATGGTACACTGAGCTGCAGTTACCTATACTTTTACCTCTGTCTAACGGATACCCAGTGGCTACCTGACTTCTCACCTTACAAGATGTTAAGGAACAGCAAAGCGAGTTACAATATCTATTTGTTGAATTGTACACAATATTAGGGACAGTAGGGAAGCACCCAAAACACAGAAAAATCTGGTTTGATCTAACAATTGACTTCTAGCCTAAATCAATTTAGTGCATACACTGTATTTTATTAGATGTGTAATACTATACAAGGAACAACTGGGAAATGGCTTTCTGTTGGAAAACCTTTTCTATTAAAGTGTCAACTTAAGACTTTAAAATTTTCTTTAAAAGTAACTATATCATTTGAATATTGGATTAGAAATAGTGAGGGTGGTTGGCTAATAAAATAGACAGGCTCTTTCCTTACAAGAAATTTACCAAGAAAAAGGAAATGCTTATATCCGTGATCATGCTTTTTTTTTTTCCCCTTAGACAACGAGAGCTGTTTTAATGGAACACTAGTCTGTCCCTCCTCTAGCAGTTGCATCCCATTTCACCAACGTTGTGATAGTGTTGTCGACTGCAAGGATTTCCAACTTGATGAATCCAGCTGTTCAGGTACTCTACCCTCACTTCCAATCCCATTCAACCATACACTGCAATGTCAGCCTGTAAAGAAATATAACCTGTGGATTGAACATTATTTTTATAAACAGTCAATGTTCTAAAATGCAAAAATGAAATTCTAAATTATGATGGTTTAATTTTCATGGACAAATGGGGGGCTGAGATATATAAGATAGTGAACTATGCCTATTTTATATAACAATATTCACAAAACAATGAGAAATTAGCACCTTATTCTAATTTAATGTAGTACAATTTATGATTGTTAGTATTTAATAACCTCACATGCAGATTTCTTGGTTTCTATAGTAAGGAAACCTATTCAATTAATATGTAATTATCTTTTTAAATTATACCATCCCCCACCTTCAGAACACCCTATTTGCATTATCTGATAATGTTAAAAGTAAATTTATTAAAATATAGATTATTTTGTAAACATTTTTATTTAATCCTGCCCTTATAAGAGTTGATAATATGCACTTGAAATTATTCAATTATCAAGACTTCTTTTAAATCCTTTAATTTATTATAGTATATTGTTAACATCTCTTCTAAGAAATTAAGTTTTTATTCCATGCAGGATATGTAAAAAACAATTGGCAGTTAAGGGCAGCAGATCTGTCACATAAAAGATAGTAAAATTCAGTGATATTCAATCATGTTTTCTAAATCAAATGAAGATATTTTATATCAAAACTAAATGGGTATTGGTGGAAGGATGGGTATTCGATCATTGTATAATTGAAACCCAAGCACAAAAGTTTGTAAGTCTACAACTGTACCTCATGGTGTATCACTAATAAAAATTAAAAAAAAAAATAAATCCACGTTATGACAATAAAAACTAGATAAGGCCTTATTCTTTATATTTTCCTACAGAGAACATTATGAGTTGTAAGAAAGCATGATAATTACAATCAAATGATAATGTAAAGTATATTATTCTTTATGCAATTGAAAGTGACTACTCACACAGCTCTGAATTTCATGAGTACAAAAGGGAATCAGGAAGTGAGGAAATCTGGTGCCAAAAATATGCAAAAATGCATGCTTTTTGATCCTATTTCTCTGTAAGACTTGCCTATACATCAGGTAAGATACCTAAAAGGAAATGCTCTAACTCTCTTTTAAGAACAGAAGAAAACTCTGATTGAGAGAATTTCATTCACTGACACTATTATGACAACATGCTCTGTCCACTGCCCATATTCATCTACATAAACATGAAATGACCTCCAGGTGCTTCTCTCTAAGTACATCATAACCTGCTACTACTGTCTGCTTTGACATGTTCTACCTTTAAATATAGGCCGGGAAAATGAAAGATCTGCTGTCATACTGGATGATAAGCAACTTGCGGATAATAATATAGAAAACCTTCTGTGTTACACCTATTTCAGTCACTCATCAATCACTCACAGTTCATTTACAGTGTATGTATCAGAGTGACATAACTATTGGGTTCAAGTAAATCACAGAACTATTGAGACCAAAGGAATAAAATTTACATTATATTGTGTATTCTCTCCTGCCATTTTATATGCTCTTTGGTCTATCAGTGAAGTATGATAAAGTCTTTGCATCCCCTTTGACTAAACCCTTTAAGTTTATTGCACACTAAAGTGTTTAAATGCACATTACACCTTTCTCCTTCTTTACAAAGAGCATATTCCTCTAGGTCCACATTTCACAGACTTTAGAGCCCAATTCTTCCAGCATCAATAATTCCCCCAGTGGTCATGCTCCAGATGGTGAGCATCTGGCTTCCCTCACCTCGAGGTTTAAGTCATTAACAAGAACATCAGGCTCCAGCCCTGCATTTGTATTGAATGTATTTCAACCAGTCCTTTCTGTTCCCAGGCTACATGACAAAGGCAATTCAAGTTTTAGTCGCTAATGCAACCAAAAATTATTCACCAGAATTTTCCAGTTTCCATTTAACTTGAAAGTCTTTTCCTAGTCATTTCTAGTTGTAAAGGTTAATAAATGTTAACTTAAGACAGAACTGTACTGATGATATAAACTTGCATTTGAAGAGGAAATGGTACTAAAAATACAGGCTTGAATATTATGAATTAATATAATAATAACAGCAATTAGGAATTTTCAAAACATTTTAAAAATAAAACTAAAATAAAGGAACTCTTCTGAAGTTGGAAAAAGGAATATTAACAGGTTTTATGGAAAATTCAAAGAACGTCCTAAATATAGAAATGGAAAAGAATCAAAATTTAATGCTTTATGCATACCTTTCACCAATGTAGAAATACTATACATATATTTATACTCCCAGTAGCCATATAAAAATTTATAAGAGTTTTATCTTAAACATGAAGAATTTTTACTTAAAGGACCTGGTCCCAAATCACACATTATCAATGAGTATCAGTGAAGAGACAGTTCCCATAGAAGAAAACCAGGACTCATGGGACTATTAGCCTTTACCACCAGTAATAGCTGCTACTTTCCAGGTTTCTCAGGAACAAGGAAGGACAGGGAAGGAGGGTGAGAGAAAAGGAAAGAATAGGGTTGGCAGGAGGAAGAGTGGTGAATAGTGGAATAATCATAAATTATTTAGATTTTAACTTCAATGCTTCTGTGGTTTGTATCTTGACCAATTGTCCAGTATATGTATCTTCTTATTTGTTCAGTGTGATACACCAGATTGGGATTGAACTTGAATTCTTTCCTAGATAGTATTTCTTTGTACACAATTGAAAGTTATATTAAAATCTGTACACATGGTCACAACCTTAATGCCTTTGTAAACTGTCCAAATTGTCATTGACTACTGAGTGGCTCACCCAGTACTGGACATCAGATATGGTGCTCCAGATAGAGTTGGTGAAATAGAAACAAAAGTTTATAAGGATTTCTCTGGAGTAACTGAATTATGGCAATACAACTCTGTAAGAGAGGAGGTATGAATAAAATAAGCCAAAAAGAGCACCTTTGAGAATGAGTGAATAGGAAAATTGGCAGGTATTTTTCAGTGAGACTGTAAGGAGATAGTGTAGAATCAAGGGTCATCGAGATCTGTAAGCTGAAAAAGTTTATGCTTTATAACCTATAAACATAGCACACTTAAAAAGTAAATGCTACTGCTAAACTTAGAGTTAGGAAAGGGACAAAGAACAACAACAAAAAGTGCTGTGTTGGGGACATGAGGATCAATTTGAGCTGGTTCTCTGTCACAGATGCAGAGGTAGGACATGCCCAGTGTCAGGAATGACATTCTGTCCAAAGGACAAGACCATCCATGCAAAGGATTGGTTTGCCATGATGTGATTTCTGCGTGACACTGCAAAAATGTTTCAGTGAAGACCAATGTTCACTCAGATTCATCTAAATAAATAGGTAATAACTAATTCAGGGGCAAAGAAAGCCTTTTCTAATATTCAGCAAGTGATGAGACTGTGCATACCTGGGGCAGGAGGAGGTTTCATGGAACAGATGTAGTTGTTTAGGAAAATAAGCCAGGAGAATTCATGTGCCTTTAGGAGCTTGGAAGCAATTTACTCTCATTATTTCAAGTAAATCAGTGACTTTCTGGCAATCAATGTCCTTTCTACTAATATTTTTAACTAACCAAGGCTTCTTTGATGTTTCTTTTAGAGTGCCCGATAGACTACTGCAGAAATGGTGGGACTTGTTTGGTGGAGAAAAACGGTCCTCTGTGCCGGTAAGAAACATTATCTCTCTTTTTAAAGATTTATTGCTATTGAATGACTTATTTTTTCTGGAGGCTGTTGTAATAGAATATCAATGTGTATGTTATTTATTAAGGTAAAAATCATGGATAATGATGTTATTTACATCTTTCTTTTTGACTAAATGAGGGGAAGCATGAATGTATATCAATTTATGTCAATAGTTTATATTTTATGACCTTAGTAATGAACATAATTTCTTGTTTTTAGTATAAAATTAAGTATTGAGATTGTTTGGGATTTGGTTATCATATTCTTACATGTGAAAATAGCATCTGTATTTTCCTTCTCCCATTTTTATTTAATATTCTATATTACTTTTCACAAACAACAAAGGATAAAATTAATTCCTGAGTAAGGCCATTTCTGGTTTATGCAATAGCTCTTTATGAGTAGCTAAAGTTAAGATAGAGATAAGGAATACATTTGCATACTAAAAGAAAGAATAAACAAAAACAGGTCTTATGATTTCTTCAGGGAATTATTTACATTGCATATCAAAGATTGCTTGATATTTTTTTCTGTTATCCTTTAGGGAATTGTGCAAAATAATTTCATATATTCTAAGGGAAATGATGCATATTATATAATTGTGTTTATTTATTTGTATTCTAGCACAATGGATATTTTACTTTTCTTATTAGAGAACTAATTGCCAATTGAAATTCAAGTTAAACCCCAAAACACATAGATGTATAACTAAAATACTGATAGTAGTTTGAATCCTATATTCTTCTGAGTCAACAATCACATTTTAGGTAGTATTTAAGTAAAGCAAATATCTTTAAATAACAAAATAGCTAATGATAATAAATCCTTAGACATTTTTTCATGTTGTTGAAACTGAACTGTTAGTGGATTTCTCATAGTTTGGTCTCTCAAATATATTATTTAGTTTATTTGATAACATATCAATAAAATTATATATTTTCCTATATTGGAAGATAACTTCCAGTGTAAGTTAATTTATCATATGCTATAATTTTATTGAAAGATGGGATCCATATTATTAATTTCCTGAAAGGAACCCAGAATAATACTGTAAATAATGTTCTATGTTGTTAATTGAATGGATAATGCTTTTGTTCTCACTAACTCTGTTAGCCAGGAAAAAACTCAGCCTGAGTGTTTGAGCTTAATAAGCAAAAGAACCTTTTTTCTTCTTTGCAACATCTTCATGAACTTTAATAAAACTTAAAAACTATAATCCAGATGGTGATGTCCCAAACTTTTTTCTCTTCAATGAGAAAACTAACATGAGGGTCAGGATGTGACAGACAGGAAGTAAGAGAGAGGACTAAAGAAACAAAATAAATCAATGCACGTAAAATGTAGAAAGTCAATATGAAAGTCAATGAAGTATTTCAATGTTTTAATTTTACTAGCAAACAATGTATTTTACATAGCCAAAAAAACTTTACCATAAACTAAACAGATATTTGGTATCACCTATAACATAGGTGTGAAAAATTGCATCTGAATATATATTATTTTATGAAAGTCTTCATTAAAACTTCTTTCATTTCTTAAAACTTGAGACTTATAAATGTAATATAAGTGTAATGTGACATGTAAAAGATAAAGCAGGCTACCCAATAATTATAGAAATATCTAAAATTCAAATCACATTCCTTAGTAGTATGGTTTACAGTCACCTGAAATTATTTTTCTGTTCACAAACACAAGTACATGCAAATACACATTTCATACTGAAATGTGATTATACTTTATACATACACCATGCATTGTTTCTTCAACTTTATGAACTATCATACTTGTGTATATCAGTATGAAAAAATATGTCAAACTTATTTCCAGTTAAATTCCATGCCCAGGTCATTTGTCATATGTAGGAATTCAATTTGGGACCTATGGTTAATTAAAGAGAGCTTTAGAAGAGAATTTCAGAATAACTCTAGGGCAGTGTGGAAAGGTGTTGGGAAAGTTGTTGACTTTAGGTCCAGTCCCAGTCCAGTCATTTGCAAGAGTGTAAATGTTTTTAAGTTTTCCAGGTAAATCTTACCAACCACACCCGCCATCATAGTGCCAGTAACCCTTCACCACAGTCCAAGACTTCCCATCCACCCCTGCTTGGAAACTTAAGCTCTCCCTTGGCCTAGGATAATTGTCACTGGACGGTGCTTAGTCCCTGGCTTTATTTCTTTATAGACCACCTATATGAGAAATCATCTGAGATTTCTGTTTTGTCTTCAGACTTACTTCACTTAGTATGACTCCCTCTAGTTCCATCCATGTTGCAACAAAATGTAAAATAGCATGTTTTCTTATAGCCACTAGTATTCTGTTGTGCATATATACAACAATTTTTTTCTTACACACTTAACTGTTGTTAGGCACATGACTTGTTTCCCAAACTTGGCTTTTAAAATTAGCATGCATTAAACATCAGTGTGAAGCAAACTTTTTGAATGAGTGGTTTTGTGTTCTTGGAATAGATACCAAAGGAGTGCAATTGCTGGATAATATAATAGTTCTGTTTCTAATTTTTGAAAAATCTCTATGCTATTTCCTATAGAGATGGAACCAGTTTTGATGAGCACTAATAGAAAAGGGATTCATTTCTATCCGTGTCCCCTTCAGCACCCCTTACCCCTACTCCAGTCGGTTAGGTATAAGCAATTCTCATTAGCATGAATTAACTGATTTTTGCTTATAATCAGTAATGATGAGCTTTTCTTTTTAAAATGTGACATCTCTGTGTCTTTTATGGGAAAGTCACTGTCTAGTTTTCCCCTCATTTGTGTGGGGTTCTTAAAGTCCTATGTTATGAAAATAAATTAAATAAAGTAATAAATTATATACTCCAAAAAGTTGTCATAGGTAAAAAATACTCTATATACCAATCTGCATAGTCACTGTCACTGTCCTCCCATTGTTCAATGATTTGCTCAAGCGGGCCCAGTAACATCTCCGTTTTGAGACTTGTTGTTACTGTGTTTGGCATATTGAATATACCACGGGTAGCTTGCCAGGCTTTGCTATGCGGACAAGATACTCTCAGTAGCTTGCCGGGCTCTCCGAGAGGAGCGGAGGAATTGAACCGGGCTCGGCCATGTTGGCTGCATGCAAGGCAAACTCCCTACCGCTGTGCTATCACTCCAGCCCCAATCTGCATAGTAATAAGAATTTTCTATTGAGTATTTAATATAAAAATTCAAAACAAATTAAATATATATTTATGTATATATATCCATATGCTTGAGGCTCATCAAAGAACTGACAGAGGAACCCAGGTGTGTGGGACCCGGGGCTGAGATCTCCAAGCCTGTACAGTTTGGGACTGGACCTGCCAGTAACTAGACAGTTACACCCACCAACTGCCGTGTAACTCCAACAACAGCCAGGATCCAGAGATCATCACACTCAGCTCCTGGGAGAGAACAAGACAGAGTCTCCTACCCTATGCCTGACTGTCTCCACCAGGGCCCAACAGCTGAAGACCACCGAGGCCCAACCAAGGCCTTGCTGGGAGCACTCTCCACACATTTGGATGAGCCTCAAGCATAAAAGAACTGACAGAGGAACCCAGGTGTGTGGGACCCGGGGCTGAGATCTCCAAGCCTGTACAGTTTGGGACTGGACCTGCCAGTAACTAGACAGTTACACCCACCAACTGCTGTGTAACTCCAACAACGGCCAGGATCCAGAGATCATCACACTCAGCTCCTGGAAGCGCGCGGCCGCTTATCATCTTATCATCTCATTCCTAATTCGGTCAAACTGGCAGGCTACCAAATGTAACATGCCCACACGGCAGAGTCTGGCAAACTCACCGTGGTATACCCAATATGCCAAATACCAGTAACAATGATGGGTCTCATTCTCCTAACCCTGAAAAAGCCTTGAATATGGCACTTTAAAAAAAAAAAAATCTCAGGGCTAGGACGAAGAAGACATTACTGGCACCTGCTCGAGGCAATCGACGAACAACAGGGTGGTCGTGATCGTGATCGTGATATATCCATATGTGTAAACAGAAGACCATATAACATATATTCACATCACTTTTGTCTTACACCCTTTTTCTAGAAACAAAGAACATATTATTTTCTTAGAAGCACAGAACACATTAACAATGTAATGAGGTTTTTCACTAAAAAGAAAGCCCTACTAAAGTCCTACTAATTTTTCTCAGATAATTTATCTAACTTCAATCTAATAAAACTAGAAGTTGTAGAGTGATAACAAAAGAGAAATCTCTTTGAAAAAAAATAAATAACTTACTTACAAAAGCTTATATTTGGAGGATACTTTAACATGGGTTTAAAGTTAAATTTGAAGCAACTTTATAGTTAGATACAACCTGAAACAAACTTTTAAACTTTTGTAATGTAACTGAAGTATAGTTTTTAAATTAAACAAAAATTTAAGGGTAATGAAATAGTCATCTCTCATTTTTCACCTGGTCTGCAGTACTTGTCAGGGGCTAAGAGTACACCACTTTTTCTCTTTACCTGGTTTCAGAAATACCACTATTAATTTTTCCTCTTCCTTTCTCCAAATCTAAATTTGGGAGCACTCCAGCTCTGCATAAATTCTCTTTTCTCCATCTCATCACTTACTATATGATTTCATCTGAATATGTGTTCATTTATCTCACTAAACCCATTCTCAAATTCAGTTCACAGTAGGATTTTATTTGCATTCCGCATAGGAACCACACATTTAACATGCTCAATTTTTTTTTTAATTTATAAAAATAAAAACCTTTTCCCTGTGCAGGTCATATTCTAATTCACCAAGTTTTGTGTGTTCTTATAGACTAGAATTTTTTTTGACCATTTTTAGTGTCTTTTCATATTTTGGACAACATTTAATTGACAATTTCTCTGAGAAGCTTTTACTGGATTAGGAAAATAACTCATTCCTGTTTCTGGATTCCTATGTTGATCCTTCATCATTTTATTTTACTACAATTAAGTTGCCTAAAGGAAGCCTGCCCTACGTATAC